CTTTTGCCACCTGTTTTCGTTCTTGCGTATAGCCTCTCGAATTGTCTGTAACAAGTGCAACTGCATCTGTGCCAGCAAATGTGCCTGCTCAGAAACCCCGTATCAGGTAAATCCCTTGTATCGAAAGTTTGAATTTTTTGACTAATTTTGAAATTTTTGACTGTCAGACATAAAAAGCTCCATTTTTGAGGTCACTTTATAGTTTTTATACAGTTAAAACCTTAACGTGCTCGTTTTGCTCCATCATTTTGTACTTGTGTTCTATTTCAGGTTTAGTTTCACTTCTTTGCCCAAGGCGACCGGCAACAGCGCCTAAGAGTTATTTTCTCGAGGGAAGCACACTTTATATGAAAGACAATGTGTTTCGGTGATTCTTTGTTGCTGATTATAATAATAAAATGTTCGATTTTGTCCAGCGTACGATGATGTCTGGGCCAAAACTTGGCTGAACAATTTGTATATTATATGTGAGTGAATATTCAACTGTATTATGACATATTTTTCTCATAAACGAGTAAGTGCAAATAAATAATTTCTTTATGTTATTTTTTGGCCCCTTGAAGTGGTTCAGTTGTGCTGATTATATGAATCAAGGCTTCCATGTATGAGTTTGAGTATTATGTTTTAAGCTGGAGATGTATTCAAAATAGTAGCAGTATTTGGTTTATGTGACTTATTAGTTTCATTTTTTGGTTTTTTGTGCGATTCAATGACAGCCGTGCCATGGTTGGTCTGGCCCGGAACCGGTTAGGGCAAACCGATAAGGGCCGGTTTCAAGTCGTGTTGTACTCTTTTTTGACCCATCGGGCCGGGCTGGTTCACGGGTCGGTTACAAGTCGTGTTGTACTCCTTTTTGACCCATCGGGCCAGGCTGGTTCACGTCGGGCTTGGGTTTTTTGACGGGTCGCAATTATAATTTTATTTATTTCTATTTTTTTAACCGGCGGTTTAATAACAGTTTGGTTGGGCCGATTACGGGCCACATTTGAGGCCCGATGGGCCAGGCGGGGCGTGAACCCGGGCTTTGAGCAATTTATATATTTGTTAATAAAAAAATAATAAGTGGACAAAAAACAGAAAAAAAGAGGGAGAGTGGACCAATATAAAAAGCACGTATTTATAAAATACGTTTTCTATATAATTTAATTAAAAAACATATTCGCTGAATACGTTTTTCACATTTTTTTTACAAAGAAAAACGTATTCACGAAATGCGTTTTCCAAATAATTTTTTCAAAAGCCGTATTCAAAGAATACGTGTTTTTTATTCATTTCCACCTCCTTTTTTCTTTTTCTTTTTTTGTCCACCACTTTTTTTTTTTTTTT